AAGTGAGATGCATTTTCTAAAATGTGTACTATATCGTTTTGATTGTCAGCGATAACATTTGAAAACTCCGCCATTTCGCGCGCCATTTTTTTTCCGCAGAAAGACTAACCAGGATTCCTTGCAGTATTGTTGAGCCTTTAGTAAATCGGTCAGCAAACATCCAATCTACTTTTCAAGATGGCGGACTTGATCAACTTTGTTTCTAAGAGAGAAATTGATGCTAAAAAAGAACAGAGACGAAAAGCAAGGGAAGACATCCTCAAAAAGGCAAGTTCTGATGAAATTTTATGATTCTTTTCAGATTTTCAGGTAACCTAATCCATCTCATGCGGAAATTTGTCATGGTAAAGTTCGTTTTCACGTACAGTGGAACCTTCCAAAAAATGGTCAAAACATGTAACTTTAAAATTTCATTTACAGCTTGAAGGGAACTTCAACTGCTTAACTGAAAGTCTTAATTCAATATCCTTTACTTTGAAGGCGAAGGAAGATTATGAACGAGAGCAGAGAAAAAAAGAACGGCGGAAAGAAACTGGTGAAAGCTCGTGGATGCTTCCTTCTCTTAGTAAGAGACTAGCAGAAGTCGACGATAATGAAAAGGTATTAAGGGACGTATTCACCATTTTCGCATAGTCCATAATGCATCTTGTTCACCCCCCAAAATTTTGTATAACCATTGTTCCTAATTTCTCCTGGGTACTACAGTCGTCCCAAGAGAAATATAAGACAATGGTTACAGAGATTCAACCCTGTCAACGAAAAAAGGAAGGTTTTAGGAGCGGCATAGCCACTCCCACAAGCGCCGAAGGTGCAAGCCTCTAGTGGGTTCTGGAGGCATGCTCCTCTGTGAAAATTGTTGGAGGCTCATGCTTGGATGTCAAAAGCTGTAAAAATGGCTGAGAAACAACAGGAAAATGGCAAAGAATCATGCTAAAAAGACCTTTTGCACAAAACATTAATCCTTCTTTGGCTTGGAAAAGTGTCAAAACCTGAGACAATATTAAGCGAAAATGGGAGGCAGTAAATATTTGCCGAAAGTGGAATGTTTTTCCAGCCAGAACGGGAGGGTTGGAATCTCTGTGGTTATGCATAATTTTGGGGAGTAAACGAGGTGCATTATGGTCTATGTGAAAATTGTGAAAACAAAACATGGTTCACCCCTGTGGGCCAACCCTAATTTTTGAACATGACTTTTAAACAGAGATTTAAACAAATTTTAGAACCATAGAGAAAGTTTTACAACTCAGTTGTAAAATGCAGGTAATGGAGTGTTATGCCCTCAATCACCAACATATAATGCAATGTTATGCCAGCCCTTATCACAACTGGTAGAGTTTTACTCGTAGTAGGTAAAAGTACTGTGTAGTATGAAAATTCACGTTCTATTAAGTGGTACATCTCTCAGATAGCAGTCTGACTATAAAAAGCCTAGTAAAAATCCTGTCTCATCCTGTATTGCTAAGTTGTGATACTTCAACCGTCCTAAAGTTTTGTCTTTCCCACCCTTTCCTCCCTTTGGAGGTTTTATTGTTGTTTTCAATAATCATGGGCTCACTGCTTTCTTTCACCTTCAGTTTAAGTCTCACAGTTACTTCCCTAAGCTTTGATTTTAATGCAAACTATTATATTTGATTGTATTCCATCATGTGCTGGCGAAGTCAGCTGGTAGTGCTGATAAGATAAAGTTCCTAGAACAGAATAATTGCGTACACCGTTCCGTTAAGTTGCACAATGCTGGCAAGAGGTTTCAGGTTGTAGTACCATGGAGTGTTAAACCTGGTTCACACTTGCAACATAACGACATAAGAGATAAGATGCTTACAGGTGTATGTCGCAATTTATCTGAACATCGACATAATGACATTACTGTACATCCAGTAAAGAAAACAAAATGGAGAAGGCACTCCTCGTGGCATTTGCCATTGTGTTGTTTTTTCTAATAAGAAGGCGAAGAAAAAGTCTGCAAAACAAGACAACTGTGTGTTTCATTCAAGCCACACAGTGATACATAGATGTTTCATTGACTTTAAGTGCAACGTTTTGTGTCATTTTGTCAACCGTAAAGAACCCTTCAGGTGCATTATTTGAACTCGCTTCACTTTAATGAAACGTGTGGGTCAGGTTCTTATCACAGAACAGCAAAGGTTTCAAAATCTAGACCAAATGTCTATTCTGTCTAGTATATAGGCAGGTCTACAATTTGTTTGTTTGTACCTTGTGTCTTTGTTTAACCTTATTTCCACAATGAAACTTAGACAAACCATAATGAAATTCCCATGCGTTCAACATGTCACAAGTCACATGAAGGGGCCATTTTAAATCTGATTGCCTTACATATATGTGACACACAGTGATGTAAAAAAAAAATTGAAAAAAAATTCCATCGCTAACCTACGTGTTATAGAGAAGAGACCAGTGGTGCTAACAGCTAATAAAGAGCATCAAGTCTTTGAAGTCACCACAGCCTGAACTAGACAATCTTGTTTTCTCTATTAAATCAAACAGGTTTTTTCAGTGTGAGCCAATGCAC